ATATAGGAGTGAGTTCTTAGAACTGCTAAATATTTCCGATTTGATATGACTTACAGATAATAGACTTGGGAATTTGATAATAAAATTCCAGTTTTGGCAATATAAAGGAGATTAGTATTTGTGTACACAGCTGTCAGAAATCACATAGACACCTGTTGTCTATAAAAATAAGATCGAATTGGTCGCTGTAAAAGTGCGAAAAAATTCTACGTAATAATGATAGTATCTACTGCTAAAGGTTAGTCTAGATGTACAAACAATTTTCAAATACAAATGCCCGATGCAACAACGAAAACATTTGTCCTTAAATAAAATTAAGCATTAATGAAATGAATATTATTCGTTCGGTTTCAGTACTCCAAAGAAAATAACCGAATTTTATTTTTCAAACTTTATTATAAATTTTATACGAGGTGTAAGAAGTATGACTGCCATAAATTCAGCATGAGATAGAGTAATCATAAATGAACAAAAAAGTTGTATATTATAGGGGCGTAAGATTAACAGTTTTCAAAATACAGCGAGAATGAATATTGGGGAGTTTCATCACAACGTGACAACAGCGCTTAACCTAACGCTACATAGCTGGTGCATGCCACGTGTGCACGCGCCTCATTATGTTCAAAATGTCTGCCACCATTTTCGATGAACACACAACACTTTCGAATCCAATTCTATATGTACAGGGTGATTTTGAATAGAGTAGTACAAACGCTACCAGTGCATCTAGATGAAAAAATAAGGCGAATGAATTAAATTTACCTTAGACAAAAGTTGCACACCTGAGGAATTACAGGGTCTTGAATGTTGTACAGCCAACCAATATTTCCTTCAATTTATCATGAACGATGTGGCGTAAATCATTTGGTACAGACATTTGTCCAGTGCGGACACATACTTTCTATTAATATTGTTTAAATATATCCACCAGACGCGCTGCTGTCGACTAAAAGCAACATATTACTCCAAAGAATTTTTCATCCTGTATGAAAATACATATCTAATTTACATTTTCGGACGTAACAGCTAAAAACAAACATTTTTTCTCTTGCATTTTTTCGATAAACGCGATAGTTTTTTTAGATAATTTATGAAAAACAAAGTTCGGAAATTTTACAGCGCCAATGGTTGCAGTAACAATCACATCAGCACACCATTCTGTAATAGCAAAAAAAAAACGCTTTTCTGGTAAAGTAAGTTTAATAAATTTATTTTGAAGGAACAGTAAGTATTCGTTATGTAACAAATCAAGTTATTTTAAGTGTCTAATTTAAATAATAAATTTTAATTTAAAACTACCTACTGTAATCTCGAATGTAATACTAAGGAACATAACGTTATTTTAAAGTAAAAAGTTTCTAAAGAATATTTTCAAAGTAGTTCCCATTTTTCTGTAAACACAATCTAACACGACGATTAAAATTATGACGTACTCTTGCAAATATTTCTGGGTTGTTACGAATATCGTCAGCTGCGAGAAAGATTTTTTGACGCAATTCTTCAACAGTATTAACATAAACAAGACTTTTCAGTTGTCCCCATAAGAAATAATCAAGTGGGGTAATGTCCGGTGAACGGGCAGGCCAACTAACGGGTGCATCGACACCACGACCTATCCAACGTCCCGGAAAATTTAATTTCAACCATTGCCTGACAGCTAAGGTACTATGTGCCGGAGCCCCGTCATGCATGTACCACATAACTTGTCGTACAGCTAGTGGTATATCCTCCAATAATATTGGGAGATTTTCATTTAAAAATCGAAGATATTCAAGAGCTGTCAGTCGACGGGGAAGAATAAATGGACCTATTAGAGCATCTCCAACAATTCCTGATCATACATTTACACTAAAATTGTTCTGAAATCTTGATGGACATATTTCATGGGGGTTTTCATCAGGCCATGTATAACTATTACGATGGTTAACTAAGCCATGTCTTTGAAAACATGCCTCATCGGTGAACAAAATATGAGATAAAAAATTTAAGTCGTGTCTGGACATTTAAGATACCACTGGCAAAAAACAATCCTTGCAGGTAAATCATTTGCAGTTAATTCTTGAACCGGCTGGTGGTGAAAAGGGCGTAAAAGATTATCATGAATCAAGTTCCAAACAAGGCTTTGCGAAACGTTGTACTGTGTAGCCAGTCTTCTTGTACTTGTTTGAGGATTTTCTTCTAAATTGATAAGTATAGTTTCTTCAAGGTTTACATTTCTGATATACCGTCTTTGTCCATTACCCTCACGCTTAGGTTGAATTTGGCCAGTTTCTCGCAACCTTCTTTCCACAGCTGAAAAAGTTTGCTTGTGGGGAATCCGGCGATTTGGATATCTCTCATGGTACAATCTTGTTGCGGCAGCACAATTTTTGTGACATTCAAAAAATACTTGGAGCATATCAACATACTCATTAATCATAAAATTTGCCATAATTAAACAACTATTATTTGATACCGTTGATGACACTGACACATCAACACAAAAATAACAAATTGTTTACTCAGCAAATTTGTTTCCGATTTACCAGGAGCAACTATGATGTTGGCGAAGTATTCCCATACTTATCAATTTAAACAGGAAATCCTCAAACAAATCGTGTTAGAAAATTTTTACTTTAAAATAACGTTATGTTGTAGTTATACATTCAGGGTGCAAAAAAATCATGATTTTTTTTTTAAATCAAAAAACCCGATTTTTTTTTATTTAAATCAGATTTTTTTGACTTAGATCAGATTTTTTGTTTAAATCGCATTTTCTAGTAATTAACGTCTTATTTCCTGTCAATAATGCCTAATTCGCCGCACCTATACAATAACAAACATTTCCACAGCGCTGCATAAAAAAAATGAAACAAAATAAAATTTTCCAATCGAATGGTGGATATCTCACAAGGATGTATTTGGAAACAATGGAGATGCGATTATCAAAATTACTAGGCAACTTCTGGGAGCTGTGGCATCATCGGCGTCGGTGGAAAGAATTTTTTCTTCGTTTGGATTAGTCCATTCTAAATTGAGGAATCGACTGGGAGTAGATAAGGCAGGCAAATTGGTGTTTTTGTTTAAACGTTACAACAGCAAGTGTAGTATTTTATTTGATGAATAACTATTAGGTATATTTGTGTTATATGATATATTAGTTTTATACCTTTTACATTTATTTTTTGAGTTATTAAAAATATTAAAATATTACAACAGAAAGTATATTATGTTTATGTGTTGAATGAATCATATTTTATAGTTTTGTAACTTTTACAGTTATTTTTCGATTTAATAAAAGCGTTTAAAAAAGTTGATTTTTTTTAAATTTATTCCCATGATTAAAATAAAAAATCAACTGATTTAAATCACGATTTAAATCTTTGCACCCTGAATACATTCGAGATTACAGTAGGTAGTATTAAATTAGATATTATTACTTAAATTAGACACTTAAAATAATTTTATTTGTTACATAAGGAATACTAAATAAATTTATTAAAATTACTTTACGAGAAAGGCGTTTTTTTTTGCTATTACAGAATGGTGTGTTGATGTGTTTATTACTGCAACCATTGGCGCGGTAAAATTTCCGAAGTTTGTTTTTCGTAAATTATCTAAAAAAAACTATCGCGTTTATCGAAAAAAGAGAGAAAAAATGTTTGTTTTTAGTTGTTACGTCCGAAAATGTAAATAAGATATGTATTTTCATACAGGGTGAAAAATCTTTGGAGTAATATGTTGCACGTAGTCGACAGCAGCGTCTCTGGTGGATATATTTAAACAATATTAATAGAAAATATGTGTCCGCACTGGACAAATGTCTGTACCAAATATAAATGATTTACGCCACATCGTTCAAGATAAATTGAAGGAAATATTGGTTGGCTCTACAACATTCAAGACCCTGTAATGCCCCAGGAGTGCAACTTTTGTCTAAGGTATATTTAGTTCATTCGCCTTATTTTTTCATCTAGATGCACTGGTAGCGTTTGTGCTACTCTATTCAAAATCACCCTGTATATCTATCAGCACATAATTAAAAAAGTTTCGTTGTTTTCTGTACAAACCTCGTATATTTAAGAAAAAAATGTTCTTGTTTAAGAATTTTACAGAAATGTTTTCAAATAATTTCTATATACATTTTTTTGTTTACTATAAAAAGTACGTAGATCCGGACTGTTTTTTTATAATCTTAAAAATTTAACATTACCTCACTTCTTTATTTACTCCACTGATCTGGTACGCTCAATAATTTACCGTGACTCATTTACCGTGTGCATAGCAATATTTGAAATTGTGTGTGTTGACAAACATTAGTCAGTCGATTAATACGCCTTACGGAGTAGATAAACTTGTTTCGGTACACCCATTCATTATTAGAGTGACGGAAAAGTTTTTTTTTGCGAAGTAGTACGTCCACGTTTCTTATGTTAGTTCTTGACCTTATGAATATGTTGCAATTTACAGATATTCGACAAAATAATGTTTTGTGTGCGAATGAATCGATTAATATCCATCCATAAAATAAAAATAAAACAACGAGAGAAATGAAATCCATACTTATTTTACTATACCACAAAGCTGTTAAATAAAGTAATATTGTTACCCTGCGCCTTTATAATTTTATGACTGTATTTTAGTTTGTTTGAACTTATTGTGTTGCAAAGTTATATTTTGCATTCAGGGGCGTAGCTGGGATTTTTGCTAGGGATGGGTCCGGTACTGCAAGTTCTATGGAGGCCTCTAAAAAAAACAAACGCACTTCAAAACACTTTTCCGCAATCAGCGGCTTACTGATATATAATTTCAAAATCTAAACACTTTTTGGTTTGACTGGATGGAAAATGCGTCCAGTAATAATGTAATTTTTGAAACTTGCATCATGCAGCAACAATTAGGAGGAGGGGAGGCGTGGGCGTATTTTTATTTTGCTAGTAGCATGTGAAGAGGTTATTTTGTCTATCGATATTTTATATTTGTGTCTATCTACAAGTTATTTTTTGTGTTTTTTTTTTCAGCATTCCTATCAATATATATCACGGGTTTTGGAATAACAGCAGGAGCGCACAGGCTGTGGTCACATAGGGCTTATAAGGCAAAATGGCCGCTTAGATTACTTTTAATTACATTATTTACGATCACGGGACAGGTAAGTAATAATTTACAATAAGGTTTCTTTAAGTATAGCTTAATTTCCAACTGCGATGAAAACAAATATACAGGGTGTAAGAAGTTTCACTGCCATTACTTTAGTATGAGATAGATAAATGAACAAAAAAGTTGTATATTACAGGGGCGTAAAATTAATAGTTTTCAGTACAGCGAGTATTAATATCACAACGTGACAACAGCGCTTAACCTGCTGATGCATACACGTACTACGAAAAAAATGTAAACAACTATTATTGTGAAACAGTTAGTAAATTTCAAAACAATTGTTTTCCAGTTTTTAAATAAATAAAATAAAATGTATAGATTTCGTAGTACGAAGATAGTGTTGTGCTTAAATTTTAGCTCGAATTTTAGTAATTATGAATCTCTTAAAACAGGAACTAAACTTTTAATCAAATTATGAATTTGAAAGATATGTAATTAATGTACCCAAAGATTCACGTCATCCAAGTAATCATACGTATTAAAAATAATTTAGGTACTTACCAAAAAGCAAAATTCAGTAATTTTTTAAACGCACAAGTACAAAACAAACTACAACATTTGCTCAAAATATCCACCACCATTTTCGATGCAAGCACGACACATTGGAATCCAATTTTCGCGCTCTCGTTGGAAACACCTCAAGAAAAGGAGATAGTGGTACCTACGCAAAAAACACTCCGACGCGGTCGAATCCAGATACTGAATTGCGTATTGGTAGTTGCTGGACACATTAGTATCTCGTGTTAATAAACCGCCGATGTCACATTGCTCGATATGAATTTTATCGAATTTTAAATTTATTACAACGCTAATTATTTTTTAGAATTAAGCATAAAGAAGTTAAAAAAGTGATACAATTATATTTTATGGTATTCTATGTACGCAGTTGTCAATATTCCTTAATTAATCGAACTTTTGTACATCAAGTTGGAAATTTTGACAATTTTTTTCTTGGAAATGGTTGAGTTTAGGACCCATGTCATATATGGTTTTTTTTGTTTATTTTAATGTATTCTATCATCTGTTAAAATTAAAACAGTCAAACTTCTAAAACCCTGTATAATATCAACATTTAGTTAGGAACAAAATTAAATATTAAAAAAAATTGTGTTGTTTTTATCGGAATTTAAAATGTACCTATTTCGTAATTCAAAAACTATTGGCTTCAAACATTTCTGTGACACTTTTCTAAAATTGCTGAGAACGAGCACCAACCTACTTATTTTTCAGACAATATAAATACGACAATAAAAACATGATTACATTTATTTTAGATAATTAGAGCTTTCCATGCGTTAAATTATACACTTGCTCAATCAATTACTGACCGCAATGTCTGTTTTTCCATGGCCGGTTGTTTATTAATTCTTGTTTCGATTTTCCGAACAAAAAGGTGGGTAATGTCCTCCTGGACTGCGACAGGGTGATATCTTGCTAGTTTAAAGTAAAAGGATAGAGACACTCAATAATTATTGTCTAGGGTTTTTTTTTTTTGTAAAAGAAGCCATCGTTGAATTTTTTGGGTGATTAGTATCGGAATGTTCTACGTTATTGTTGTTTAAACTAATTTCGTACTTACATATTGACTTTATTAACATTGATTAGTTTTTTAAATATTGCAATGTAGTGAATTCTAAGCATGAATCATGGGTATACGAGTAAAAGCTATTTGAAAACCAAATTAAATTTTTGTTTTGAAATGCTTATTTTTAAACATTTCAAAATTTTTCTAAAATTTGGCAAGGTGCCACTTTCCAAATCTTTTGTGCTAACGGCAATGTTGATGTTTGTTTTATTTAGTTTCGGATAGAAAGAATGTTCAGTGAATAATGGGCCATACTTTAAGCCCCTTAGAAGGTATTTTTTTATTAAATTTTTTTACAGTACTTTATTTATTTTTTACATCTTCGTAATTTCTTGCCGCAGAGCCTGCATTAAAATGTGAATATGAAAATATGAAATAAAAAATAATTCAGACTTGTAACTGCTTAAGAAAGCAAAATTTTACTAGGGCAAGTTGACTTAAATCACTTAGAAAGGAAGTATGTTCCCATTCATTTCAAAACGATGCACCTTAATTTACTCTCATAATTTCCATAACAAAAGTGTTTTTATCATTATCATTTCATCAGTTGCTGGCGGTCCACCTTGTAACACTGTTATGGACGATATCAAAGTTAGTGAATCTACGTGTTAGGCCAAATGTAACACGAATCGGCCACACAGCGGTATTGATCTGAGTTCGGGGAACCGAGCGTTTTTTCCTACCGACCGCGTATTACTCATTAGAACCTAGAACAAAAACAAAGATGTTCATTTTACATATTTTTATGTGTACATGCATACGCCTGACATAATATTTATGTAAAAGAAAAAAGATCACGTAGATAAATACAAATGCATAAACATAAAAGTGTTTGACTTACAGGGGCAAATGAATTAAATTATTTTGTCAAGAACGTGGCATATTTTCAATTTGAAATGTTTTTCAAATATGGATATTTTTGTTAAGTTTTTCGACATACTTTTCCTGTTATGTCCAGAACAAGCTTTTTGGTGAGAATTTGTACTAGCTTTATAATGCTACACAGCTGGTGCATACCACGTGTGCACGCGGCAGACTTGTCCTAAGGAAAAAATGTAAACAGCATTTAGTAAATTTCAAGACAATTGTTTTCCAGTTTTTAAATAAATAAAATAAAATGTATAGATTTCGTAGTACGAAGATAATGTTGTGCTTAAATTTTAGCTCGAATTTTAGTAATTATGCATCACCTAAAACAGGAACTTAACTTTTAATCAAATTATGAATTTGAATAATATGTAATTAATGTACCCAAAGATTCACGTCATCCAAGTAATCATACGTATTAAAAATAATTTAGGTACTTACCAAAAAGCAAAATTCAGTAATTTTTAAACGCACAAGTACAAAACAAACTACAACATATGCTCAAAATGTCCACCACCATTTTCGATGCAAACACGACACCTTGGAATCCAATTTTCGCGCATTCGCTGGAAAACACCTCAAGAAAGGAAAATTGTGGTACGCAAAAACACTCAGACACGGTCCAATTCCAGATACTAACTGAATTGCGTATGGCTGGATAGCTGAGTGCCTCGCGATATCCGCCGCGCCGTTGTCACATTGCTCGATAAATAGTACAATTCATTAATCCATTGTTCTGGTCGTGTCCATGTTTTATTGTAATGTCTACACGAAGTGTAGTACCTATGGCAAAGAAATAAACCGACAAGTATTTTAATCTAGAGTTCCTTAAAGTTTATTCCTTTTATAGAGACACGTCTACGTCTGGGCGCTGGACCACAGGGTTCACCACAAGTACAGCGAGACGGATGCTGACCCCCACAATGCCAAAAGAGGCTTTTTCTTCTCCCACGTAGGATGGTTGATTCTCACTCCCCATCCGTCTGTCGTAGAGAAGAGAAAGGCAGTGGACATGAGCGATCTGGAGGCAGATCCCATCGTTATGTGGCAGAAAAAGTTAGTATAAATCTTCTCTTAAAATTCTATCAAATGAAGTCAATATTCTTTGGTACCAAAAATTGTCTTTTTTTATTTTTTTAAGTTTTGTCTTCATTTGATAGGATTTTAGAAAAAGTGTTTAAATTTATTTGAATTAACTTAATACTTTTAATATAAAGTAACATTTCTTGTAATTTTTGTTTAGGATCTATCCTCTATTATTCTTAATTTTTAACATCTTTCTACCGGTGGCCATCCCAGTCTACTATTGGAACGAAACCTTATGGAACTCCTTTTGGATCAATTTCAACATGAGGTTCACCGTGACTCTCAACATCGCGTTTTTCGTCAACAGCGTGGCGCATATGTGGGGCCAGAAACCTTACGACAAGTAAGTTCTCATAGAGAAACTTATCCATGTATTAACACTTGTTTGACAGGAATATTAGTCCGGTGGAGAACCTGGCTGTGTCCCTTGCTACCCTTGGCGAAGGCTGGCACAACTACCACCACGTGTTCCCTTGGGACTACAAAACTGGGGAGCTGGGAAACGTCTACAATCCTTCCACCACCTTCATCAACTTCTTCGCTAAGCTGGGTTGGGCTTACGACCTAAAAAGTGTTTCTAAATCCATGATAGCCAGGAGGGCCAAAAAGTGTGGCGACGGTAGTCATCCCCAGATTTGGGGATACGGCGACAGCGACATCGAGAAGGAGGATCTGGAGGAACTGGATAAAATGGCGGAAGAGAAGACGCTGTTGAATAAAGAGGAATAAAGAACGCCACAGTATTAAAATATGTTTTAGCAGCACCGAAAAATATTTTAAGTGATAAGTTTGTTACGTTTCAAATAGTTTCTGTTGGACTTTCAGTAAGAGGTATTGTTTTAGTGTAAGTGTAAGAGGATGATGAAATTCAATGTGTTCTTCTTAGGTTTGTAAGGTTGTAATTGATAATTATTATATTTTCTGAACCTTCGGTAATGTAGAGCAAAAATCTGGCAAAGGTAAATTATGTGATTATATAATGAACAGGAATATACCTATAATATGAAAAGTATTCTAGATATTTTCAAAAGTCAGTAAACGTACAAAATGTCGTCTCTGCTAGGCTGTTGGAGTTGCCATGGTTAATATTCTGTATTTGCACATTTATTTTTCATCATGAGATCTGACCTTTACAAAAATAACTTATTAAACAGGCTATTGGAAATTTTCAAATTCCTGATCTTGTTCTCACTTTGGAGCTTAAACGTCTGTGTTCATATTCAAAGGGCATTAAAATATAATTTCTCATTCCAAATATTAAATATAGTGTTTTGTTCTAAGCTAAGTGTTAATAATTAATATGATCTTTAGCGAAAAGGATTTGATTATTTATATTTATTCTCAAATATATGATTTGTATCAGTCGGTGCAAGAAATTATTTATGCTAATAAAGGAAGTTTTATTGCGAGCGTCTCTTAAAATGAAATTTGTGGATAACTGATGAATTACAATGTTTGAAAATGTGTCAGTCATATTTGTCTCTATTCAGGACCCCACTATTTAAGCTTTGAAAAAATATTTTCTTTTGAAGAAATTTACTGTTGTTCTCTTTTAAAAGAATATCTCTAGCCTTTATATTTCGTCTAAATACAGATTAAAAATACTCTACCTCCACAATTGTCATGTATCACAAATTTGATGGGAGACAAAAGTTGCGTGCTTACAATGTGCTTTACTGTGCGGCCTTTTCTAATATTAGGTATACATTACACTAGGTATCGTGTCTATTTGAGAGTTCTAAATTTTCACGTGTGTAAAGCTTAAAATATACTTCAAACAAATATATTCTGGCTTAAATATATACATTCGATTGGACTGGAAGTTATGGTTGCAGCCGTTTGACTTGATGTTTGGGTTGCAATTGATCGGAATAAATTATGTTTATTAAACCTTGCTATGGTAATGATGGATCAGTGTTTCGAAAGTGGTCTATAGTTTTCTGTCGCCATTGTAATACCGCACATTCACTATATTTTCTGTCTTCGAGGCTTTTAAATCATGAATATAGCATATAATAAATCATATTTTAAGTTTTCATCTGCTGTATACTTACGGTTAAGAATATAACAAGTAGGTTCACTTAAATGTGCCGTTTTTGATGAAAAATGTACATAGTTATAGTGATAGTTAATTTCCAAATAATATGAATACATAATTTTCATCAAAATCGTCTTTTATATATGTATTTTTAATATTGTGATGTATTTTATTAAAATATTTTGAACAATGTTAATGTTTTTATAAATAAAGTATTGTTTGTTAATAACCTCATTTATTTCTCCTCATTTAATGAAGAAATCAATAAACTAATAGGAAATGTTTGTGTTATTATTATTGTTGTTCCACAAAATTCTTTACCCTTCAGGATATCCAGGGTTAGTCGGAATAGGGAAAAAAGTCTTCATGAATACTATTTCCGAGTACTGAATACATATCTAAAACTGACGAATACAAGTACTGGCTGCTGTCAAATAAAAGTATTCAATATTGATTATACAAATATTATATTGAATACAACTTATGAATACGTATTTGTACTGGAGCTTTTAAGAGATGTTATATCTATGCAAATAATAGTACCACATGCATGTCTTTCTTTGTCTTACAACAAACAGTACAAGGATGCCTATAAAACTGAAAGCAGACCAAAATAAAAACTGATTTTACATCTCTAAAAGACTTTTTGAGTTCTCAGCACGTCTACTACGAAGAAATGTCTTGTCGTACCCAATACTGACTATAAGGTACGAAGTTAAGCCACCCATTATGCTGAAAAGCAGGGAGTAGTCGACTGTGAAAAACCCATAAGCAGAAAATTGCACTGGCTGATTGACCAGGAGTTCTAGAAGCAGCACATCATTGTAGACGTCTTCATATTCTGAAGAGTTCAACTGAAAAGGTAGTTTCAGTAGCAATTCGAAGCAAAGAAGGGAGGATTCTTTCAGCTGCTCGATGATCTTTGCACAAGAAGAGACCATTATAATATCTAAAACCTGTTAAAATTGGTAGTTACTTCAAAACTGATAAAATTATTAGCTTACCAGAAGCAGTACAGAGTGGCAAAAGAATATCACCATTACAAACAACCTGACCACGGTCATTTCTTCAGTCATCATCCCGAATTCCATGCATGTGTGTAGTGCTTTAAGTAAATTAATATTCATAGACAAGAATATGAAAAACATTTCAATTCCGTAGACTTCGTTCCACAGTGAATTGACCTTTGCTATATCTTTATAGCACTGGATGAGGGTTTTAACATTTAATATACTGTGACAGCAATTTTTATGCGATTTTGAAGAGATATTGCTCTTTCTAAAACGCTTTATCCTGGCATTGAAAGCTTTGCAGCACTGGAAAATCGTCAATGAACTCTGATGAAGCTGGAGGACGGTAATTATCGACAAATACAAGTTAAGAATATTGTTAATTCGACCCACCAAAAATAATATATCAGTTGGTCTTATAATATTTATTACCACTTCCACCACCATTGCCAAAATCATCACCAGGTGTAAAAATGCAAACTTTATCGGCATGGAATTATCCTCACTGCAAATCTCGGACACTTTAGTCAACTCGGTTTGCAGTCTCAAAAACTTTTTCTTGTTGCAAAAATGGGTACGTGAAATGGAAACGGTGTTTGTTAGAATTGCAGTAGACTTTGTTAAGAATTCTAGAATTACAATTGCCATTTTAGTAAAGTCAACATTGGGACCCGGGCTAATGCATAAGAGTACAAACATAATAAGAATTAAAAAAATGGCGTAGATATCATTCAGATAACTTTTACGGTCTGTGTACAAACCAAGGAGTTTGGCTAGAGCTGTTAAAGGCTTGTACCATTTCAACATGTTTATTATGATTGATTAAAATTGTTTTCAGATGCCTTTTACTGCTGAAATATTCATTGTTTGTTTTGCGACGCTTGGCATATTTTCCTAATGATTGTTGTGATAGTAATTTAATTAATTTACAGTGTTGGATTATAACATTTTGGATAGCAAACGACAGAATGAAGAGACTAGAAAAAAGATTCCTCAAAATAAAAACATAACCAATGTTATTTGAGTAATAGAATTTGTATCTGACATGTTACGGCCTTGGCATGAAATTTTCAACTAATTATAAAATATAAAACAACAGAACACTTCACACCAAATTAAATTGACCTAATTTTTTTAATTCTCATGGGATATAACATCCATTATAGTTAATTATTAATAGAATAAATGATATTAACTGTTCGGAAAATCTACCATCCAGCATGTTGATGTCAAAAGATACTATTCAGTTCCTGAATATTTCTCTTAAGAAAACTGACAAAATCACGCTAATGATGGATGCTGTATACATCAGTTGTGCCATGTTGGATCTTCTCAATCGAATCTTTACTCTATTTGGACTTAATTTACCTACAACAGTTTGTACTGACCACAACTTATCATCGAATAAATTTAGGAAGATCACAGGGGCTATATTATTTTCTATAATATGTCTAAGTCTCTTATCACTTAATGGCAGATACCATAATGATATAACAGAAAAAACTCGATCCAAAATCCCGATAGATTTCTCAGTTTTTGTTGTAGAAGTATGTTTGTCTTCATTTATTGTAGGTATGCGAGGAATAAAATATGAAGAACTCAAAATGTTTTGTTGTATACTTCTAAAATTACCTCAAATGGAACAAACATCATTCAAGAAAGATCTAAAGACGTTGGTTTTAAATAACTTTTATTTTATTTTAAAGACAGGATCCGTTGGTATTTTAATATCATATAATATTTATATCCTTTATACTATCTATGCAATATATTTCGTTTATTATATTTTCGAAGTATTCCTCTTCATGTTACTAATGTTTGAGTGTTGGATAGTAGCAATTGTCCTTAAAATTATGAAAATGTGGGCAAGAAAATTGAAACAGACTTTGGATGAAGTCTATGCAGATTTCTACAGAGTTCCACCAGCAGAGTTGAAGAAAACTGAAAATGGCGATTTGGTGCTGGTTGGATGGATCTCAGATGCTTTAAATTCTAGAACAGACAAGACAAATATTTTTTTAATGAAGGATCTGGCTTGTTCCATTGTGCAATACAAAGACAGTATAGACATTTTTAACAGAGTATTTGGAGTATCTGCCTTTATATTAATCTTACAGATTATAGTTACATTTGCAGATATCTGTGTCAGTTGCAAATTTTGCGAAAAATATGATGAATTGGTCTACGTTAATATTGCAAGGTTATCAATTTTTATGGTATGTACCTATTTTATTTAACAAACGTTACAGTAATTATTTAATTTCGATATACTACTATTGATATAATCCCTGGCAGCACAATCGTGTGCAATTCTAATACAAGTTTACTTGAAATAGCCAAATTGTGTCAGATTGTTTTGCGTCTATTTATGTCGTTTCTTATACAAGATACTTGAGTCCAAAGGGGTGAATTAGTACAAGTCAAGTACAATATGTCTTACTTAATTCTAATGTAAGTCTGCAACATAGTCACTTGCTTTAATTTACCCCTTTGTGTTGAAGTGCCCTGAATCAAATCCATTGAAAGCTTTGATCAAGACAATTGCACAATGAATCTTGCAGTAAATCTGATGCTGATTTCAGCAGTAGGTACAGTAGGTCTTACATAAGTGTCTTATGCAAGATTTTGCTACCAGGGATCTTACTGCAGCGGTACTATTTTTTCTGGATTCGAAAAAAAAACTTGGAGTACGTCGACATATTCGTCATTGGTATAAATATTATTTGCCATAATTATTCTGATAACAAAATTAATCAATTGGTTGACAGAAAGTGTCAATTTATTAATATGTATTACACGAACTAAATATTTGCTTTTCGGGGATATCAGTTTTAGTAAATTGAGCGCAACATATTTAGCCTTGGCTGACTTGAAGAGCAAGCAGCAAGCAAATTGTCATGAAAAAATTGCCTTGATTCCATTTCAGCGACCAATAATTGTTGCAGCTTGGTTTTAATGATATTATAATTTATTCTATTGGCATTACCAAAGAAGTTAAATCAGTTGGGAATAAAAGCTACAAATTATATCTGGAAATGCCTTCCAAGGTTTTCGTCGAAGAGGAAATTGAAATGAAAGATGTCTTAGGATATATCAATAAATTTGTTGAAAGAGAAGATTGGAATATCACAGCTGCAGGAATTTGCACCTTCGATCAAAAGTTTTATATGAAAATAATTATAACATTTCTACTGCTTCTACAAATAATTTTGATTATTTCCAATACATCGAGATAAAAGTTAGGTACCCTGTAAAAGATTTAGTGTCTCATTTCATTTCATTTATTAAATTATGTTTCTTATTTGTCCCCACTTGTATAAAATAATATAAAAGGTGAAAACTATTTGGGCGTATCTTTGTTTACATAAGAAATTACAACGTTTAACTCTGACAATTATTAATCTTTTGTTTTCAAACTAAATGGATAATACAATTATATAATTCAATACTGTATCAAAATGCTTCGTAAAATATCTATCGGTCTTTCACTGCTACCAAATAGTTTCCAGGAAAATGAAATTAAAAAAATATCCCGTTCTAATAAATTATATGCAATATTCGTGATCACAATATTAGTTTTGCTTTGGATATGGAATATGTATTCACGAGTAGTTTACCTCTATAAAGATTTTGATGAAAAAACACTTGCCGATGCGTTTTTGACCACATATTTTGCCTTTATGTGCATAGGCTTCATCGTCATTAACATATTCGTTCATGGGAACAGCTGGTATTTCCTTAAATCTTCTAAGGAAACTGAAACAACGGTTCAACGTAATGGTTTTCAGGTCTACTTAATAAACGTATTGTACTTTCTTTATGTGGCCCTGCATCTCTACATTGGTATAAAATTCAAACCCTGGTTGCTTAATTTATTGGTACCTAGTTTCATAAATAAATTTATAGTGATTTTGACGGCATTGAACGTACACAGGTTCGCTCACTTGTTGACCCATCAACTGAAAGAATTGATAAATCTATTGAAGGACGATTGTGAAAATATAAGAAGGATTAAAATGTTAGAAACAAACCCGTATATGATACTACAGTTATATTCATCGAGGAAAGTTATGGATAAATACATTAGTTTCCTTGTAGCTTTTTATAGAGGTGCCAAAGCTTTTAATTCGATATACGGATTGCAAGTATTGGCGATCGTTGGGTTTACCTTGTTTCAAATCATTGGTGATGTTAAGTTATTAATAAATATATTCGAAGGTAAATTGTTAGTGATGAGCTGTTATTATTTCGCTTTATTTTGCTCGAAATTCTGGAGTTCTTGTAATATGCTGGTAAGTATATTATCGTTATTTACACCTACGCATTTATTTCAAAAAGTAACCTCTGGAAGAATCAACATTATTGTTTTCGATACATCTTGTTTGTACAATTATCTTTCATTCCCCATAACATAACAGATCCAGGATTCCTGTTATTTATTATTAAACTGCACATAGTTTTGGTTTCCTGTCTGCCGTATTTTCTTTGATACATTTTGTGAAATGTCTTTTAACTACACTGCTGAGAACGGGTAAAAACGTAACTTGTGTTTTTTTTTCAGATCGTTTGCCTACTTATGGTTTCACCCTGCACTAAAGCCACCCAAGAAATAGACAAGGTAGTGAAACAAACCTGTAAATTATTGATCGAATTACCTCACGGGGTAGATGATACCTCTTTGAAATTCTGTCAGTATAAACTTGTGTTTCTGATGAAGCAACTAGAGCACCATAAACCATATTTTACTGCTAAGGGAGTTTTTGAGATTAATTATTCGATGTTCATGTATATTATGACTGGAATAATCAGTTTTGTCGTTTTGTATTTACAGCTAAGAGAATAAGTTCGAGAAAGAGTGTTTATGTCTTTTTTATTAAAATAGTTATATTTTCTGATCTCTGAAAATACACTATCAATTGTCGTTCAGTAATAACTACATATATTAGGATATGATTAATTTACGTAATGATGCTTTTAGAAAATATAAGAAAACTAAACTTCAAACTGATTTTAATTTCTATAAAGATTTACGTAATTATATTACAGGGGCAATACGGAGAGAGAAACGAGCCTATATGGATTTTGTTTTCAAAAATCGAGATAGTAAAAGCACTTGGAAGGCGCTAAGGTCTATGGATATTGTTAAAAATAAAATTGCTGGAGGTGAAATACCTGACTCTATATGCAACGTTGATGACATCAATTCTTATTTTATTAACAGTGCTAATATTGATAACAAAGATTATAAAATCTCTGAAGATAAATACAAAAGTTCACCTAGGAAAAAACCTTTTACGTTTAAAACTATAAATAGTGATACTATATTAAGACTTATTTATAAAATTAAAACAAAGTCTGTAGGTTTAGATGGCATTTCAATTAAAATGCTTATTATAGTAAGTACACACTTAATTCATTATATGACACATATAATTAACACAGCAATTATTACTTCGACATTTCCATCAGCTTGGAAGCATTCCACTATTTTACCGCTTGCAAAAATATCTACTCCATCAGAAATTTCACATTTACGTCCTATAAGCATACTGCCGGTTATGTCAAAGATCTTGGAAATGGTTATATATAAACAGATCAATGAATATGTTTTAGCACATAATATTATTCCTCCAATTCAATCAGGGTTT